CGATGTGACTCCTTAGGGATAGCAGTACTGCTCTTTGGGACTGAAATATACACCTACATATATACCTATGTATATTTATCCAAGAGGCAGCCACACACCCAGAGAGAGAGAGACAGCGAGAGAGCTAGAGCACTCTTAACCACTGGTTCACTCCTCAAATGCCTACACCAGTCCCAGGCCCAGACTGGGGCCATCACTGCTGCCTCTGAGGGTCTGTGCTGCCAGGATGCTAGAAGCAGGACATGGATGTCTTAAACAGCATCTTAACCACTAGGCCAAACACTTCCTCTGATATATTTGTAAAACGGGTTAATCTGGATTTTCCTAAAATGAGTGCCTCTAATGAACCCAGGGAGAAGGAAGTTAATGAGAACTCCAACTGGGAGCACCCTGGAGCTCAGGGCCCTGTCAACAAAGGCACTTCATGGGGCCGGTGCCGTGTCTCACATGGTTAATCCTCTGCCTGTGGTGCCAGCATCCCATATGGGTGCCAGTTCTAGTCCCGGCCGCTTCTCTTCTGGTCTGGCTCTCTGCTGTGGCCCAGGAAGGCAGTGGAGGATGGCCCAAGTGCTTGGGCCCTGCACCCGCATGGGAGACCAGGAGGAAGCACCTGGCTCCTGGCTTTGGATGGGTGCAGCACCGGACGTGGCGACCATTTGGGGGGTGAACCAACGGAAGGAAGACCTTTCTCTTTCTCTCTCTCTCTCTCTCTCTCTCTCTCTCACCGTCTATAACTCTACCTGTCAAATAAAAATATTTTTAAAAAAAGGTACTTTGTGAGGCTAGAAGGAAATGCTGGAACTCCCTCAGCTGCCCCCCAGTTCCCCATCCTTTGTCAGCCTGAAGCTCTAAGCTTCAAGTAGACTTACTTCTCCTTTAGAGCTCAGCTCACATATGAATGTTCACATGTTGCATTCAAAAACTGACCTACCCTATTCTCACTTATCTTTGAGCAGAGAAAAAAAAAATCAACTGTGAGGGTTTTCGATTAGTCCTTGCTTCATTTTGCTTATAAACACATAATCATGTTACTTGATTTTATGACTTTGGTTTGAAGTGCTAAGCTTCCTCCATTTTTTTTTTCTTTTTAATAAAGAAGACTGCAGTTCCGGGGTTTTGCTGTAACCTTACAACTCAGTCTGTGAAATCTCATAAAGAGCTCTGGGACTCAATGCAGGGATAAGTATCATATGACAACATTATTATCCATGGCCACAGCAAGGTGCAATCTGGATGTAGTTCCTAAACCAGTTTGCTTTTGGTGAATGTCCAATTCTTTTACAATTGCCTCTATTGTTATCTGCACTCTAATTTCTCTACTGTCCAGGGAAATGTATTTATGGGGACAGATTGATGCAGCAGATGAAGAGATACATGGACGGGATGTGAAAGTACTTTGCAAGGAAGATGATTCAAACACAACTCAGGTTGGGGGGAAATGGATTTTTAAAATAAATGAAATTTCAGGATGTTAATGTGATGTATTTCACTTAATGGGGCAGGTGAAGGATGGCCCAGAAGTAACAAATCCCCTGGCTCTTCAGGCTGAGCAGGGTATCCTGTTTCCTAACAGTTTGCCTCCCTCCCCTTGAAGAGGACCCTGACTTTTTGTGGAAAAAAAAAGTCACTGATCATTAAAGAAAAGCAACTCTTGTTGCTTTGCCTCCAAAGACAGGTCTATTCCTTTCTGATTTTTTTTTCTTTTCAGTTAGAAGATCTGCAGTAGGTGTGATCAGATTTTTGGAACACTTGACATCCATCATTTTACCCAATGGGCCTTTAAATGAACCTGTCACTTTGTGCCTGGACAATTAATGCTTTATAGTCCGCTGCCTGAGCATGTTTGCAAATTACAACCACACTTTTGTGTGGATTTTCAAAGAGGAGCCCTATGTCTCATGGTTCCACAGAGCTTCTGTGTTGGGTGACTTTCTGAAATCCTGTCTCAGCGGCTCTGGCAATCCCACCTGCCCTCATTTCAGAATGGCTGCTGCGGCAGGAGAAATAAATGGTTCATTCCCAGGTCCCGAGGTAGTTGAGGACGTTACACATATGCTCTCAAACGTCACTGCATATGTGGCCCAGAAGGAAGGAAAGTTGTTGTCAGCTTGACCCTTGAAAGCTACCTGAAGTGAAAGGACACGTCTTTGAAATAATAAAGTCAGTGGGGAAAGAGAATTTGCTTTTTCAAAACAGGAACTTGGGGTGTGGTACAGTGGGTTAAAGCTGCTGCTTGGAATGTCCACATCCCATATTGGAATGCCTGGGATTGAGTCCAACCAAGCTTCCTGCTAATGTGCATCCTGGGAGGCAGCAGGTGGTGGCCCAAGCACTTGGGTTCCTGCTACCCACTTAAGAGACCCAGATGGAGTTCTGTGCTCCTGGCTTTGGCCTGGTTCAGCCCTGGTTGTTGCAGGCATTTGAAGAGAAGACCAATGGATAGAAGATTCTTTCTCTCATTCTATCTCTCTCATTCATATTCTCTCTCTCTCTCTCTCTCTCTCTCCTCTCTTTCATAAAAATAAAAATCAACATTGAAAGAAAACTGGATTCTGAATAGCCTTTTAGGAGCATATTCATTCCATTAAATTGGGTATACCTAATCTGGGCAAACTGAAACAGCGATATAAAGAAAAATCCCTAAGACTGAGGCGGTCAGGCAAGAATTAGTCAGTTAAACAGCCTTCCTCCTCCAGGCTTTCCCTGCCTGGAGGCCAGCCAGTTGTCCTGTACCATCCACACCTGCCAGTACATTAGAGTCGATTATTTGTCTCTTTTTGTCAGCATTAAAACAAGGAGTCAGGCCCTGCCACGGTGGCTTCCCTGAGTGGGGCAATGATTTATAGATTAATTATTTTAAGGAACAAGGCAGCACAGCATGATGCAGTGGAAAGAGTGCTGTGCTGGGCAAAGACCTGTGTTTCAGCCTTGGCTCTGTTTCTTTATAGCTGTTTGACTTTGGGCAAATCACTTAACCTCTCTGGGCCTTAGTCTCTGTCTCTGTAAATTGGGAACAAAAATTGATGGTTGTGCTGATCAGATAAAGTCCTGGCAATGAAAACGCTTTGTTTACTCTAAGGCACTAAACATACATAAAGTATGATCATGGTTATTAGATTTCTAAGGACATGCACAGTAACACACCTAGCCAATAAGGAGCTCCATCCTTCAGTCCCAAGACCTCTGGGACTAGCTTTCAAGTCACACAGAGGAGAAGGTCATGAATTTGTTGTCCTTATAAACCACTCCCTAATCCACACTCAACTCTATTACAATATGGGAAATGGGTCTAGTGATAATTAGTATTAAGTAAGCACTTAACTCTTTCATGACCATTAGTTTCTCAACATTAAAAACAAGTTGGGCTATGGGGTGCAAATTAATTTATAGTTTCCCTCCATTATCCATACTTATAAAGAGGACAAGACAGGGTTTTATAGAATATGGAGAATCCCAAGGTCACATAGTATAGGGCGAGTTATCCTAAAGAATGGAAAATCTCAAGGTCACACACCATAAGATTTGGTTCATAATGTTTGATTGAGATTCTAAGCTGCAAGAGGGGCTAAAAATCACTTTTTCAATATAAATTTTCTGTGGTGAATCCATGATGTTGATAACCCATACGTAAATAAATTTCTTTTCCAGTACTACATTTTCATGTCACAAGTGGAAAAAAAAGGCATTTCTTAAGCCAGTTGTAAAACTGAGTATCAAAGCCAGCTCATCTAAGTTCCTTATCCAGGGTTTTACACACAAGACCCCATTCCTCAAAGGACTTGTATGAAAATCCTTACTGCTATCCACATGGAGACCTTTGACTACTTGGACTGGGATCACTTCTCAATTCAGTGGCATATCTGGTAAATATTCTGTTAGAGGCTGGTCAGTTGAATCAAAACGTACAAACTACCTTGTGCACATAGACAACTACAGTGGTTGCTACAAAAACACTGAATTCTGTGTCTATGGGTCACCAGTAGAACTGATTGAACCTGAGCACAGTTGTAGATTATTTTGTCCAGATGCAGTCACGTGACTAGTTTGTGTGTTTCTCCTTGGGACTGGGTGGTCGTTGGCTGTTGCATGCATTGCCAAAGCCTTAAGATAACCAAATTTTTACTGTGAGTGAAGGCCATGCAAGCAGCTCTGGTATCCCAGGTGTAGTATGGGAGCTCTAAGCAGGTCTGGCCTCAATAGTGAGTGAATGCTTCTTGTAGGTTGGCAGTTGCTCTGGGGCTGATACTGAAGTTACTATATTTGGAAAGTTGGTCATGTCATCAGTTAATGTTCAAGGAGGGACGGGTAGTCAAAGTGCTGTGGTGTCTGTCAGCATTGTGTACTGCAGGAAAGCAATTTTGACAGAGATCTCTGGTGAACTGTGGCAAAAGGTGCTTGGGAAGGACCTGAAATCTCCCAAATCTTTACTTCTCGCCAGGCAGCTCCCTCTGAGTCCCCCAGCCCAATCTCACAATTAAGCCTGGACTCTTTTGGCCCTTAATGTTTTCATTGAAATGATATCATTCACTTTTTTTTTTCTTTTCATTTTGCCTTGGGGCAAGTATTGCCTTAAGTCTCATGTCCGTCTGTGTGTACCTGACTGGTCTTTTCCAGTTTCTACCCAAGAGCGGGGATGCCTGGGTCAACCCACTAGGCCCGAGAAGCAACCCCAGGGCATGCTGGGAGGGATACACTAGAGGGCTTCCTGACTAAACATATTTCGCCAGCTAGACTTTCTTGGTGCCTGAAATTGCTACTATTACAGCACTTTAGCTGGCTAATGACAAAGAAAGCTCCTATTAGAATGTTCATTTAAGGATACCGAACCATTATCGGCCATTAGCATCCTCTCTTGAATTAGTATATCATATAAGCTAGTCAGTCACCTAGAAAAGTGGTGGAGAAACAGGACTTCTGATTAGGGAGGCTCTGCAGTTAAAACAACACCACAACGGCAGAAGGCATACACGGTCTAGATGCTACGGAAGGTCAAGCCTTACCCTCAGCCTCCTCTCGAAAGCTGAAACGTTGCCTTTGCTTTGCTCCTTCCTCTGCCGCCATTCGATGAGGTTTGCATTGTGCTCTCCAGGCAGTGAGATGTTGCATTTGCCCAGGGTGGGGTTGACTGCGCCGGCCAGGATGTGGGGTTCTGAGCTGAGGCTGATCTCCATCCCGCTGGCAAAGGTGACTCGGAGGGATCCATCTGGACTCACCCGATAGGTACTTTGAGTATTTTCTGTCGACAAAAGAATGCAGACGGAAGGGGGGGGCAGAGAAGGGGAAGCGGAAACAGGGGAGAGGCAAGTTCAGCTTTAGGAGGCATGTTTGGGGAAGGCTGAGCAGGTGGGGCGTTGTGGATCGAATCGCTTTCTGGGCTAGACAGGCGGATGCGCTCTGCCCATTTGGGCAGGTCCTGTTATTTTCCCAGCTGGATAAAAGACTCCTGTGTAACACCGCAGGCTGTTTTGTTTGGTTTTCATCCGTAGAGGATTCTCTCTCAAACGCCCTCTCTGACTTGTTGGCTCAGCCTCCTCAGTTGGATATGTGGGGAACAAGAATGGGAGGAGCAGGAAGCTCAACTCAGCATCCTTACCACCTGGGGACACCATCCCCGTCACTGTACCCTACAACATGATAGCACTGACAAAAGTTGGCTCTGTTCCTCCCAGACTGCTGGCCCGCCACTTAATGACAGAATGAGTCCTTAATGGCTGGGCAAGAGAGAAAGCCATTTCTTTTTCTCACTTCCCCTCCAGCGTCTAAGACAGTCCTTCCCAATCCTATCTTACTTCCCTCTCTCCCTCCTTCCTCCTTTGCTTCTTCCATTCTTTCTTAGCTCAGTCTCTTTGAAGGGAATGCACTTTTGGTTCTGTTACTTCATTACTATTCCTGCTTGTGGTGTATCCTAATGAATACTTCTTATTCACCCGTGTCAGCATTGCTCTAGAACGCTAAGCTCCGATAGGGTGCACACTCCATTTTTTTTTTCAGACAGCCTCGTCAGGCACAGAGAACTTTACAAACAGCTGGGCTGTAGGAAATGACTTGGTGGAAAAGCGGACATGGTGGGGATTTCACCTCATAACTGCCAGAGATGTGGCCCAAGGGTGAACGTGAACTTGTGGAAGGTGTGAATCTGTCTGGCCTTCAGCCTTCATAGCTGGAACATAGGGGAGAAGAATCCAGTTTCTCAGCAACAGGTGGGCTCTATCTATTAATGGTGTGTGTGGCTTTGAGGTGACATGATAAGACATGTGCTGTCATAGGTGAAGTTGGAAACATTCTTACCTTGTTTTAAAATATATATGGTACTGGTTGCTGTCAAGTTGGTTGACATGAGGACATTTTCACGGTTGGAAGTGTCTAGCTCCACCTTGGTCAGTTTCTCCAGATCACTGTGGAAGCTGCTGACCTCTCCAGTGGGAAATGTTGCATTGGTCAGATGTCCCTCGGGGTCATACCTGAGCAATGTACCCAATCACAGTTTTGAAACCTCTTGGCATGGATTACAGGCCTTTGCAAAAATAAAAATCGCTTGCAGCTAATACAGTTTAACTTTGAGTGATAAGAAGTATTATTAACCTTGTTCAATAAGAAGAAAAAGGTCAGAGAGATGATTAATCAAACGAAGGTATTTTTTGCAGCTTCTGAATTCTTGATGACTTCCTTGAGCTGTGCTGTTTTACAGAAAAAATATATCTGGTAATGAATCACCAGGGTGGAAAACTGATTTATGAATCATGTCCTGCTGTGTGCAATGTTGCAAGGAGGCCTCCGCTTGCAATTTGGGTTGATCCCATTAGATGTGATGGATTACAAAATCCAGCAGAGGGTGCTGTTGTCAAAGGGAAAGGAGACACAAAGGGGCCCTCAAAGCCTGAACAGGCCAGTACACTGACTTTGCATTGCGATGGGAAAATTATAATTTGCTGCAGTTTAAGTTGCCAAATTTGAAATGAATGAATCATTCTTCCACCAAAATGAACAAGCACACAGGATAATGGGAATGTGTTCATTAAAACATTCTGGAGCCCCCTGATCTTGGTGTCACTTAAATTCTTTTTATATTTTTAGAGTATAGTGCATGATGTTTCGTAATTTGCCTATATGAGTAAGAGACAAAAGAAATAATAATTACCTGGGATAATAGGCAGTAGTCTATATCTAGAAATACAGTGTAGTGATTTTGTTTTTTCTTTTTCTTTAAAAAAGTCAAAATGGTTGGCAATCTTACTGTCCTCCAAATGGAAACTGCTTCCCTGAAGGCTTTTGATGTGGAGCTATTCTTTCATTGCCAATAGAACCATGAAAATAAACACTTCATTAAAAGTAAAGACATGCACTTGGAAACCCATTACTGTTTTCTTTTCAAGTTGCAAATTACAAAATATTTAAGCACGTTTATTTGATTTTAAAATGTTAAACAATTATATTCTTTTTGCCCAAACTGATTAGCATATAGCCTCACTTGTGGGGTCCTCAATGGTGGAGTCTGGCTCTCACTATCCCTTCCCCTAATAATTGTGCAAAACAGTAATCCACTGTTAATCCACTAAGTTTTGAAGAACTTGGTCTGGGTGGTTGCTCAAATTTTACAACCTATGCCAGTCTTGGCAGGCTTGGAAGAAGCAATTGTACCATATTTTATGAGACAGAACTGACCTTGAGGCTATAAATAAGGCTGCGTCAAGTTTTAGTTCTGTGTGTACACACGTGGATGGGCACACACTCATGGAAGCAATTCAGTCAGTCATGTATGGGAATAAAAAGAATCAAATCGGTCATTTGACATCACAGACTGGCTACTGGCTAAATCCTCGGTGTTTGAGTATTCTCTTGGTTTAATGAATTTCAATCAAAATGGTCAGTGTTGCTAGCATGCCGCCAAGGACTCACGATTAAAGAAGGGCTGAAGGGTGTGGTTTTGGCCTCTGGTTAATGGCTAGATCCTTCCCTCTGCCCAGCCTGTTTGTCTATGGTCTGCCTCTGGGGTTCTGTGGCTGCAAAAAGTAGGCGCCTGGCAGGACAGGAGCATGGAAAGGCCTGAATGTCAGTATGGCCCCTACCTTGTCTGCCTGGTCTGCTTTCTAGTCTAGTCCAGTACAAAGTCTAGTCTTTGAACTCCCAAGGTACCGACCTGCTTTTCCCTGCAGGGAGGAGTTTCTTGGCAGCAGACAGAGAAAAAGCCTTGCCTTCCTCATCAGAGAGATTACTGCTCCCACAGCCTGGAATATGCAGGTAGTTTCTCTCTGTTGCGCATTTAGCACCAGCAACTCTGTTGCTTTCCCTGTCCTGATTTCTAAGGGGTTTCCTCAACCCTTGGCGACATCACTCTTCATCATTCCCCAAGGAAATGCAGGTAAGACACCATGGATGCAGTTGCTGATGGACTTCCCAGCTTGGGGGCCGTTTCCTTTTTTTTTCCCCAATCACACAGCTCCTCGTTTGAAAGATTTCCTATAAAGGGGACAGCTGTGGCTGCATCCACTCCTCAGTGCAAGATGACAGTCAGATACCAATTAGCAAAGGCCTGTAAATATATTTTATTTTTGAACCCAGCTAGCAAACACTTTTTAAGCTAAGATATGGGTGCTCCTTGTCTGAAATGCATTTAAAGGCTTATTCCTATAAGCACAGGCGTGCCCCCATATACTCTGGCCCTGTTTCTAGGCCCTAAATCAACAACAGTACATTTGGAGAGGAAAGCTCAGGAGTCCTGTGTGAGACTGTAATTACCCAGAGAGATCCATCTGGGAGGCTGCTGCCTGGTCCTTTTCTGGCAAAGGGTGCATTGGTGTTGGCAATTTGGTATCACTTCCCACATGTCTGTCCACTTGCTGTATAGCTACAAAATTACATTGCCTCCTTTCCTTTCTGTGGCGGATAGGCATCTTATTTAAAGTGTACAATGGAGTGTAACTGTATCATAAGCAAAGCATCCCATCCCCCAAAGCACTCATGCACCCCAGTTCTGCTCGTCACAGTCACAGCGGTCACACTTGATGCAGTCTGCACTGTGGTGTTTCTCATTTGTATGGCCTTGGATCAAATATACAAGCCCACTTCTGTTTTGTGGAATCATTTCCAAAGGAAGAGTGATAGGCAGATGTACACATGAGTGGATAATTCCCACAAGTTTGGAAGGAGTGCTCAAAGAGGATAAGAAATAAAGGGAGCCTTTGATTTCCTATGGCTTGTTTGAGTTATTCACCCCCCTCCCCTCCCACTGCCATCACAGGGGAATGCATCCTTCCAGACTGAATGTCAAAGAAACAAGTTTAATCAAAATCTCTTATGCTATGTGTTTCCCTTTGGCACAGAGAGCACAAGCCAATATGCTCCAACTGATCCCCTCAGGCCACAACACAGGGGCAACCCCTCTTCCTCCCAGGCAAGGGCATGACACTCGCCTAACCAGGTGCACAGATCCTGATTGGCGCATCAAGTCATCAGGCAATGCCTGTTGCCTTTATAATCATCAGAAGTGGGTACATGGGTACAGTTAACAGAGATTTGCCATCCAATTGTCACTTCCTGTCCTGCTTTTACTACAGCTGTCTATTGTGTGTGTGTGTGGGGGGGTCCCCACAGTGACATATTGCGTGAACTTACCCTTTTGCTCAGTACCACCATGATAGACTTTGTGTACATGAACTTGTGTGTGTGTGTGTGCATGTGTGTGTGTGCGTGCATTTGCGTACACTGGTGAAGCTAAGGAAGTATCTGTAAAGGAAATTCACAATTCATTCCTGTCTTTGAGGAGCATATAGATTAGTTGAGGAGATGATAATTTACACATTATTAAAAATATGTTTGGTCTGGCAGTTTCTCATAGGGATAGCTTGCTTTTTCCTTTGAGGACAATTGAAGCCATACCTAAACTACAGGGTAGAAACTAGAAGCTCCTCTACCTTGGTGTTTAAGAAAATATTGCTGATTACAGAAGGAAAATTCATTACCTATTTTTAAAAGGAAACACGAGGGAGTCAGATCCTCTTTCCATTTTCATTTCAGAAAACAGACCAACTTAATAAGCATTCTTTACAAAACACTGGATTCCCCTTTCCTCACCAATAACTGCATTTGGCTTCTTATGATTCAGTTCCAAGTCCACAATGCCCTTCTCTCTTCATTTGTCCTTCATTCAATAAATATCAGAGTTCTGTGCTAGTTACTGGGTTATAGTGCTGCATGAAACTCAGTCTAGTAGGGCAGATAAGACATGCACTCAAATAACTGCAATGCCAGAAAATGGCCACGTCTTTATGTAAAGAAGGAGCCGCAGAAGGTCAGAAGAGATGGAGGTGATTTCTAGCTGGGCTGAGCAAAAGAGGAGGAGGAAGACCAGGAGGTGTTTGAATCCTGGGGGCTGGAAGAAATTGGGGAGGGGCTTAAGGGGTTCCAAAACAAGGTCATGGCGTGATGGGAAGCAAACAGGTGGATGGACTGTTTATGAGGCCTGAGGAGACTAGGATGAGCCAAGCAGTGCTTGGGTGGCAATGAGTAGAGTGGGAGACACGGAGCCAGGAGAACTGGTTAGCAGGTAGCTTCAGTTAGTGTAGGTGTAAAACAGAATTATAGAAGCTAGTGGCCTCTGGCCTTGTTAAATGTATTGTGATTGCCTGTCACTGGGTCTGGTCTCCCGCACTAGACTAAACTCTCCAATCTTTGGTTGGGGGGAGGTGCAGTGTCTCCTTCATATTTCTATTCTCGGTATCTGGCTCAGAGTAGATTCTCACTGCATGTACCCAGTGAAGGAGTGTCAACAGAATGCTGCCAGTGTAAATGGAAAGGATGAGGTAGATATGAGAGCCAGTGGGGTTGTAGAACAGACAGAATCATGTAGACCGGTGTTGGGAGGCCACGCTTAGCTTACATCAATGGTCTGTGCATTGCAGCGAAAGTTCCCTTATCAGCCTCTGAAAGCTTTTTCTGCCCACAGCATCCAGTACTTCTGTTCACTGCCTGTCTGTATTTCAGTGCTCCCCAGCATTACCCATGACGATTCTGTCTGCCTCGTTCTTGATCCTTATCAAGGGCAAAAAGCACAAAGAGAGGTGTCTGAGGAAAGGTGTTGAGTCTGTATCTCTGGAGACCTGAAAGAACAGTTGACAATTCTATGTTCTTCTTTAATTGAACTGGAGACAGGTGGCCGTAAGACCATATGGTGCCTTAGTTCCCTTCCTACTCCGGGATTCCAGGAGGCCCTGGAAAAATTAAACATGTTCAACTGACTGGCCATCACATAAGCATTTCTACATGGGCATCACTTCCTACCCCCAGGCAGATATCTTACCCAGAGACCCAGCTTGTTGACCTTGCCCTTCCTCCCCTCATTAGCCATCCTTGATAGAATTGATATTGGAAAAACAGCCTAGCAGGTACCCAGGGATGTTAGGATGGCTTTACTGACTCATCAGTAGGTTTTTTATTTTTCATTTTATTTGCTCGTGGGGGTGGG